TGGGTTTTAACAACCATGACATAGACCCATACATTTATATAAAGGTATATACTGAACGGTACTATAGGTTTCACACTAATCGGGATAACCCCACAACTAACCATTTTAAAAAAACAAAAACAAACAATATCTTAATATAGAATGACGTGCCAATTTTACATTAAAATTTTTTGAATTGTTAAAAAAGAAAAAAATAACATAGGAAGGGTTAAATTTGAAATTTGATAAAAAAAATTACTTTTTTTCATGTTTACTGTTACAAGAGGTACACTTTAATCCTTTAATTTTATTTTTTAAAGTTTGATCCCTAGTGTTTTTAGGATATCAATTTTTAGATCCCAAAATCATCAAAAAATTTCTAGAAGAGAAAGCTTTTGAACGGTCGGATTTCAGTTACCATTAACCCATGCGCACCTAGTTTTTAAATTTTTTTACTCATTATATTTTTTTCTTATTATTTTTAAATTTCAATTATGTTTAAATAGTTATCTAATTATACTATTATTTTTAAATGATATTGATTGCTTTTATAGTAATGTTAATAATTGATTTTTGAATAGATATATACTAAATAGGCATCTCGTACTATGCAACATGCCAACTAAAATTCCTTTTCAATATAAAAAATGCAAAGGCAATGAAAACATTTTTAAAAAGTTAAAAAAAAACAAATCTAAAACTTTATTTATTGACTTACTTGATTTTAATAAACTTAACTAATTTAATAATATAATTAAAAAAAAGATATTGACAACAAATAAAGTGTGTGTATATATATCAACAACAACAATTCAATGCAAAAGATAAATATTTGCCAATATTTTATAAATTTATCTTTACAATATTCTTAAAAGGTCTCTGTAATCTTATTTATTAACAAAATAAAAGTTAAATGAGAATGGGATAATCACATAAAAAATAATTTCAATTCACGATAAAAAAATATTAAATGATAAAATTAAAAAAAAATAAAAATAAACCTGAATGTATCTGAGCTAGCCCACCAAGTTCATAACCTAGTTGTAATACCGAGATAAGCCTATGAAAATCAAATTGAATAAAATTACAAAGTTCAATTCTAAAAATAATTTAATATTGAAGGATAAAATAAAATAAAAAAGGCTAGAGTTAACCATGAAAAACTCATTGAATCCATGACTTAGAATATGAGATCGAGATAATTTTATAAAAAAAAAAATTAAAAAAATAATAAATGTCAATTTCCAACCAACCTAATGTTGAATGATAAAATAAAATAAAAATTAAAAAAGAACCTAAAAGAACTTGAAACCAACTCGATATAATCTCTCAAACCTATGACATGGGGATATTGAAATCAATCTTGAAAAAAATATTGAAGTCAAGTTCTAAATCAACTAAAATAATGAGGGATAAAATTAAAATAACAAATTCAACAATTAAAAAAGATCTAAAACCAAAAAATAAAATAAAAAAATAAGAATTAAATTTGACATAAAAAACAAAACAAAATATTAATTGATGAAATTAAAAAACAATTTCAATGAAGATAAGGATAAAAAAATAACAAATCAAAATCAAATAAATAACGACCAAACTTGATATAAAATTAAATGCTAATAGATGGAATTAAAAATAAAAATAAAAATAAATTCAATAAAAAATTTAAAATTAAATACATTATAATCAAAGTAATTAGAAGTAAATTTAATTCAATCAACCAACAACTAGACTTCTTTAAATTTATGCAAGCCTTATGTCTTCAATCAACCAATATATGTTTTTGTAAACTTTATGAAGAATAATTAATGAAAAATTTAAATGATGAATTTATATGTCAAATACAACCAAATATGTTAGAAAACAAAGTAAAACATTGATAAAAATTGATAATGACAGTTAAATATAATAATGACTCTTTAGTTTGAGATCGCTAAAAAGTTAATGCCAATCAATAAGAGAATTAATTAATTTGCAAGGGATATTTTGATAACAGTGCCACTAAACCGTGCTAGAGGAGGAGATTTTAAACACAATAAATAGGTGTTAAGCACTTATAATCTGGTTACATTAAGTTAATATTGTTAATGTAAAAATTAAATTATTTTCTTATATTACCATGAAAATAGGCAAATAAATGAATCATGGAAGAAAAGAGAGTAAACAACTGAATTTGATTATCTACTCTCAAAAAAAGGCTAATAATATCAAGGAATCTTGACATCGGCAATTAAAAAAAAAAAGAGTAAAATATTAAAGTTTATTTTGGATTTTTTATTAGTTAATAATATTAATAAGTCATATTAATATCAATATTTTTATTTAGAACTTAATTAGTTATTCATAAAGTTTTTTTAATGTCGATATTTTCATTTAGAAATTAATTAGTTATTCTTGAAAAAGAGGTTAATGATAACTATATTGACATATCTAAACAAAGGGCTTAAAATACACGGAAAAAGATTGATTAGTTATTAGGAATAGAATAAATAATGATATACTGCTACTGCTGCAGCAATTCCTTGTAAATCCATCTTTCTAAACACAGAATTCCCAGTAACCAAGTCTGTCGTCACTGTTGCTGCAACACAATCTGCAAGAAAACATTCCATGAACAAAGCAATTCTTAACGGCGAGGCTTACAAATTTGCATCTATGGCTCTCGACACCTACTGAATCTTTTTTTTTTTTCCCTTTTTCTATCAGCAAGGATAAAAGAAAAACAATAATTAAAGTATGTATGAACAGGGGAAACAGACTCATGCAAGATCCTCCAAGAGGATTTGATGGCAACCAACTGGTGGCGGCAGGAAGCTTGTAATGATACCTAAAGAATCTAAAAGAAAACAAAAGGAATATCAATTGTTTCCAGATTACTTGTTTATGCCATTGTGTGCTCATGGCATTAAGATGACAAGGATCAAACAGAGAGACAGATTGAATTTCTGTTCTTCAAGTTTATCCGTGTCTCTGGTGGACCAGGGAGGGAGAGGGAGAGACTCTTCAAACTCAAAATGGCAATGTCTTCGACAATTAATAGGAAAAATTACTAACTCTAATCAAGTTTTGAGTTTGTTCTTTGAAAAAACCATTATCAATTTATATAGTTATTAATTTTAAGATCGTAAGATTAATTAAAATATATAAAAGCTAACCTAAACACCTGTGTTAATAAAAAAAGTAATACTTAATAACATTGTTTTTAAACCAATGATCGATTGTATATAATAATTGGATTATGAGTTAGCCAGGTTGACTCAATTAATTAAAAAAATCCAACTAAAATATTTAACTAATTTCAAGGCAATAATTATATAGATCAAATGTAAATTTTAAACAAATAACAAAAACTTAATTTAATTTTCAAAACACAAACCAAATATAAATTCTAAAATATTTAAAATAAGATATTTAAAAATACAAATTCTAAACCAACAACACATTCACTTTTGTTGAATGGATACATTAAATTAATCAGTGTCCACAAAAGCAAAATTTAAATAAAATATTGATGAAATTCAATTAATTTTATCAACACCTAATAAAATATCATCATGCTTCTTTCTAGCTTCATTATCAACCTATTAATATTTTTTGAAATTTATATTTAAAACACAATTAACTAATGAATATTACATATTAAATAATATTTTATTTCAAATAATATTTTGTATTAAAGAATCAAGAATTAATTATCATCTTCTAAAGTATATTATATATTTATTGTTGATAAAATATGGTGAAAATTTTGTATTTCTTCAATTATTGAAATTGATATATCATCTTTTTATTACTCAATTTTTAATGATATAAATGATCTTAAAATTAATTTTATCAATTTTAATAATTTTTATATATTCAAATTGAGAATAAACACAATTCAAGTATTAGTGATGCTAAATAACATTCATTTTCTTATATTGTTGATTATTACTCCTATTAAATTTATCGCAATCACTCATTAAAAAAAGAAAAAGAAAAAGAAAAAGAAGAAATGATGGTAATTGCTGCGTTAACAAAGGAAGAGCAGGAGAGATGATCTGCCATTGCAAGTCGACCAGAAATGATCTCCAACTCCTGACTTTTCTTAGAACTTTCAATATACTCCGATAAAGTTTTGAAAAAACGGAGACACCATCTCATCATGATCTCCACCGTCCCTTCTGGTGCTCGTCTTCACCACCCCAAATCCATCCTGACCGTACGTAAGACCTCAGCGTGCACAACCTTGGTTGCAACACCATCTTACCATTCTCAGCTTCCCTACCCTTTATTTCTGGAATCGGAACCACCGCACCAGCTTCTCTACTGAAAACATCCGGTTCTAGCATGAAATCTTCACCCAACTTTAAATGATTTTTTGCTTTCATTAGGAATGGTTTGGTGCTATCTGCAGTTTCCATTTTTGTTTTGAAGTAGAATTAGTATCACTATTTCTGAAAATCATTCTGTTTGATTTTTAAAAACACAGAATAAAAACTACAAATTGCCCGTTAAAACATTCTTGCGGTACAAAAAAACATATCTTCGCCGCTACCAAAATAACAAACGCTACCGAAATTCATGCCTTTAACTCGCCGCACGGTGACTCTGATAGTGTTTTATACAATGGCATGTCATGGGGTTTAAGCTTTTGTAAAGTAGCCAGCACTCATAATTGTACTCATGATCTTGCGGAGTCAGTTTGCACATCCTTTAAAAAGGCTACAACAAAGAGGAACATGTATTCTGGATTTTGATTATTCGAAAAGAAAAGGAAGTTCCAGTTTCTTATGTAATTAATTAATGAAACATATTCTCAAGCCATTATTATCATCAGAAAGCATTAGCTTTATCTTCTTATGAGGTTGCTGTCAACCTTAGCTTTTTGGAAAAGCAAATCCAGGGAAGAAAACCAGAAAGAAACTCGGAAGCAAAACAATATCCAACCATAATACTTTATTTACATGAATGAAATTGGGAAATAAAGTATCCAAAATCAAACTTGCAGACATAGCAGGAATAAAAGACGAGAAGATGAAACCCGATGAAACAAATAGAAGTAGACATGGATGGTTGATTACAATACGGGTAACCCCAAAGAAATTACTTTTTAGAGAGAGAGAAAAGAAAAAAAACAGAGCAGAAATCAAGATTGAGTACAAGACTTGTGTTTTTAGTATATCAGAATCTTCAAGCATTCTTAGGGGGTGGACCTTTGGGCACATCTGGGAGTTTTGGACCCCTGGCTGTGACTTTGATGCCCTCTTCTTGTACAGTTACTCCCTGCAGATGAACAACAACAGTCGTATACTTCAGCACCCGCTGACAGTATTCTACTCCTAATCACTGATCAGATGATCTAAAGTGAAAACGAATATGAAAGAAAAATAAACCTCCACGGATTCTGACTTGGTTTCTTCCCCATTTTCATTTCCTGTAAACAGAAAATTAGTGGGGCTGACTGAATCAATGACATTCTACATGACACTAAAGTAGCATCCTTTTTTATTCTTTAATATTAGATGATGGGTTTACCTTGAGAGTTTCTGCTACCTCTGATAGCTTCAAATAGATTGAGGAATCCTTTCTTCAGATCTTGTGCAAGTTTCTCCATTCCACGCACTCTCTTGGTTTCAGCAGTCAGTAAAGATGTCTAGCATGACCAGTGCGAGCATTTTATACATGGCTCATGCCTGGACACTTGCTTATTAGAAAATTGATGGATGGGCTTGGCAGAGCGGGTAGCGGAAACCGGGGTTCATTAAGGTGTAAGATTACATTTTTAAATTGCGAAGGAAATTATGATATATTCTGAAAAATCAATAATTTATTAAAAAACTTGAAAATAATATATCAACTAAATAATAGTAAAAACCAACTTAACCTGTATAGAGAAAAATCGAAACTATCTTGGAAAAATATTGCTATAATCTAGCAAGGAAGATTTCATAAGCCATTAATTACATAAAAAAGAAAATATGGTTAAAAATGGGTTGCTTATCTTTAAGTTCTTTCTCTAGTTTGTTTGTCTTTACATGTCCCATACATGATAGTTAACTAATTTAAATATAAAAGTGGGGTAAAATTTAATTATTTTGCTGTCCTCCAGTTTAAAAATATATTTATTTATTTATTTCATGATAGCAAATTGAAGAATACTACATACCCATAAAGAATATTAATTCTTCCATCTAGAGAATATGAGAAAATCCTAAGACATTTGGTCCGGTTAATATATGATTTTATTTCCTCATGCTATTATTACTCTGTTGGAATTTTAAGAAAGGCCGTAGAAAAAATAAATTTTGCATCATTTTATATAGTGATGGACATATTAAGTTTGTGTTAAGCTAATACCTTAACAAGAAATGTAAAGAAAAAAACAAAGAAAGAAAAAGATAGAGAATAGAAAAAAAAATTGTATTATTGTATTATTACTTGACTTACAAGAAATGCACGTTTACACATTTATATGCATTCTTCAACTAATTTTAACTTCCAAATAATTCCAACTAACTAACTAATTGAGTTTAATAATATGAATAACGTGCTTTACATATTTTTCAATCTCCAAGTTATTCAACAACTGCATTTATTATTGTTCTTCACACTAGTTATTATTTTCTTTAATTCCATCATGTGTAGCTCTAATTATAATATGTGTAGAATGTAACAATACTCTTTTTTTTTAAGAGATTGTTGACCTTAAAAATCTGTAAAATTCTAAAAATATCTCAAGAATTTGTGTAAAATTCTAGAAATTGCAATTAACTTTTCTCTGGCTCCTTCCATATGGCATCTTACAATATGACAAATTATGATCCTACCTATTTCATACACCTTTAACAGTGCAGATGAAACTACAACTGCATCTTCAACTTTTTTCTTCAACAATAAAACATGAAAAATAAGATGCACTTAACTTTTTTCTAGCAATATAAGCTTGTAAGCCATAATTCTAATCCTTTTAATGATTTGATAGGGACCATAACACTTCAGATTTTTATAGAAATTCTTTATAAGGGAGACCCTGCCCTACCTATATGACTGCAGTTTTAAAAAGACCTAATCACCCTTTGTAAAATATTTTTTATACATTTTCTTATCTATTAATTGCTTCATCCTATTTCTTGCCCTTTCTAACTGCCATTTCAACAACTAATCGATAAAGAGCTTAAGTAACAGTAGTATGGATCATTTTCCTTGGTGGTGGTTCTTAACCATAAACAACTTGGAATTAAATCATCTTAATAGCTAAATGAAAGCTAGTATTGCACCATCATTGTGATAAAGATAACCATAAACACCATTTTTTTTTTGTTTTATATGATCATACACCTTAGGTATGTTTTAAGACATTGAGTCACCTTTTTAGACTATTTGCCAGTTTGTGGATGATAAAAACTATTCATCAATAGCTTCACCCTAATTGTTTTAAATAATTTCCCCTAGAAAAGACATGTAAAGATCTTATTTCTATCAATTAAACCTTTTCCCCCTTCTTTCTTGAAACATGTAAAGATCTTATTGCTATCAATCACACCTTTTTCCCTTTCTTTCTTGAAACTACTAACCACACCGTTAATTACATAAACAAGAAAATATGGTTAAAAATGGGTTATTTATCTTTAAGTTCTTTTTCTAGTTTGTTTATCTTTACATATCCCATGCATGCTAGTTAATTAGTTTAAAAATGAAAGTGGAGCAAAGTAAATAAAGAAATAGTGAAAGGAATAGATAGAGAATAAAAAAAGAAATTGTATTGTTGTATTATTACTTGACTTACAAGAAATGCATGTTTACACATTTGTATGCACTCTTCAACTAACTTGACTAAATCTCTAACTTTCAGATAATTCCAACTAGCTAACTAAATGAGCTTAATAATATGATCACGTGTTTTACATGTTCTTCAATCTTCAAGTCCTTCAACAACTGCAGTTGTTATTATTTTTCATGCCAGCTACTATTACTGCTTTCTTTGATTCCATAACGCGTACCTCTAATTATAACATGTGTAGAATGTGCAAAATGTAACAATACTCTTTCCTTTAACATGTTGTTGACCTTACAAATTTACAAAATTCTAGAAATACCTCAAGAATCTGTGTAAAATTCTGGAAATTGCAATTGAATTTTCTCAAACTCCTTCCATGTGGCATCTTTAGGGAAGGAATTTGACCATTGATTCAATCCCACTTGACACGACTAAACGATTGATATCTTCTCCTAAGTGCAGGAGTGTCAAAGTAATAAATAACCTGGTAAGACCGGGTTCGAATCACAGGGAGGTTAATTGTACAAATTATAAATAACAATAATGCAACAACAACAACAACAACCGGTTATACCATACATTATGGGCTATGAAAGTGCCAAGCATTTGTTGTACCAAGTGTTATATAACATAAATCAAGATTAGTCATTTAACAAGCAAAGTATTAAAGAGTGAACAAGATAACAAATATAAAACATGTTAGTATCAAACATTAAAGTTCATATTAAGTTTACATTATACTTATTCTTACACCATTAGTGTAACCTTTTCACCTTGACATAATTAACTTAGCTAGACATAATGAAAGAAAGCAAAATAGATAAACAAAATAAGAACATAAAAGTTAACTAAGTAAAGGAAAGGAAATGAAAGGCATAAACTTAATATTAATGAAAACAAAGCATAAAAAATACAAAGAGAGAAAGGAAGAGCATGATCTTGATCTGGAAACCAAGATGCCTAAATGCATGGAAAATGCCTCCTTTTATAGGCCAAAATTAGGAACTATTGATTTGATGACTAATTGATAAGTGGGTGGCCAACTTTTGACTTGGTGACAATCCTTATCTTCTCTTGTCTGCCCAAAACGTCATTGATAACGTCAAAATTGGAGCCAGTTGTAAACATGAAAGTTGTAGGCAATTGTCTCAGCTTTCTTGTGTAAAACATTCAGCTCATTTGGACTTCTAGAACTCCAGATATGGCCAAAATACCGAACAGTGCTCGGGCTGGAAGACAGATTCGGGCTTCTTTGTTGTTGCTACAATTTGGACTTGATAATGGCCTTTTTAGATCTTGGGCTCCATATGAAAGTTGTAGGCCTATGTCTTACCTTTCCATCCATATAAATTGGACCTAAATCTGAGATATATAGCTCTAGATATGACCCAATTACCGAATAGTGTTCCGGTTTAGATTGCACCGATATCTCTTTTCTTTGTTTGGCCATCTCTTTATCCTTGCAATTTAAGTTCTTCAAGTCATCAATCAATCCTTTCATTTATGTGATAAGTCTGCATTAAAAATAGACATTTACCACAAATTATAGGTATCTTATCTTATTAGATACATTATTATAAAACATGTTTTAGTTAAGGAGTTATTGATACTTCAAGTGCAAAATGATGATATAAAACCTTGATAAAAATGCACTTTTAAGTACTAATCACCACTACCATAACCTTGTTATCTTTTTTCATAAGCTTCCCCTCTAATATTACAATATAAAAAATTATGATCCTACTTGTTTCATCCACCTTTAGGAATGTAGATGAAACTATAACTACATTTCCAATCTTTTTCTTCAACAATGAAACATGAAAAACAAGATGCACTGAATTTTCTTCTGGTAATGTGAGCTTCTAAGCCATAACTCTAATCCTTTTGATAACTTGATAGGGACCATAATACTTACAATTCAACTTGAAATTCTTCATGAGGAAGACAATGCCCTACCTATATGGCTGCAGTTTTAAAAAGACCTAATCACTTTCTATAAAAAAACATTTATACATTTTCTTATCTACTAGTTGTTCTATCCTATTTCTTACTCTTTCCAATTACCCTTTCAACAACTGATCCATAAAGAGATTGAGTAGCCCTAATATGGACCATTTTCTTTACCGATGGTTCTTAACTATAAAGAGCTTATAATTGAGTCATTTTATAATTGAATGGAAGTTAATATTGTATAACCATTGTGATAGAGATAACCACAGACACCATTTCTTTTGGTTCTATATGATAATGCACATTTGTTATGTTTTAAGACACTAATTCACCCTTTTAGACTGTTTGTCAGTTTGTAAATGGTAAAAACTACTCATCAATATCTTCATCTCTATTTTTTTAAAATAATTTCCTCTAGAAAAGACTTTTAAAGATCTTATCTCTATCAATTATTATAGTAATAAGCAACTCATAAAACTTGTTGAAATGGTTTAAAAATAGGTGAGCAATATCTTGTACTAAGAAAAGATAATGCAAAGCAATAAAATGCCTATACTTTATAAACCTATCCATAATTACTAGAGTGGTATCCTTCCCTTCTAATTTTTGTAAACCCTTCATGAAATCCATGATAATATCCCACAAAATTCTTTTTGGAGTTGGTAAGAGTTGCAATAACTTTGGATAAGCCACCTTTTCAACCTTAGCTTGTTTGCAAATATTATATTGTTAAACTAATTTCTTTACTAGTTTCTTCATTGATGACTAATAAAAAAAAATGCCTTGAGTCTTCTTTAAGAATTTTAGATTCTAATATGACCTTCAATGTAAAAGTCATGTGCAGACTTGATGATCTGCTCTCTCAAGAATCATGTAGCTCCTATTATAACCCTTCTTTTATACCTAACAACTTCATCCTTAAAAGTGTAGTTTTGATATTGATTGGTATAAATCAACTTACCAGTAATAATGTTTTGTAATATGATATCAATT